ATGTATTTTCAGATCACAACCCCTTCACATTCTTTTTTTCCCATTTCACAAGTAACATTAGGGTGACAATACCTCCTCCTCTACCAGTGTTGAGTTACCACGTGCAAGGTACTTCTCCGCTGAGAATTTCCATCCCACCTATTACCACTTTGCTTTGGGCTTGCAGGATCCAGTCCATGGGTTTCCTTGTTTGAACGTCCCAGGCTGACCTCTTTCATGATAAGAGTCTAGCGATTACATCCAGGATTTGCATAAATATAAAAATTTGACCATATGCTAAAGTGTACACTATAAATACGTGCTGAAGCATACACTCCAGAAAGACAGACAGCTTGGTTTAAAACCAGATTTATCACAGTCCCTGTTAAAATCAGAGTTGTCACGCCACAGAAGAGAAAACGTTGTTCTTCATAGCCTCATTTAGAACTCCGAGTGCCTCAAAAACGTTAAGACTGCACAGATTTTAATACCTAAAATGAAAATTGTTCATCTTTCAGAGGTTCTGAACAACACAAACTGCTATCTCAGTTGTTTTGAATACGGCTTACAAATGTACAGAATGATCCTCTCTCCACAACTAATTACTGTAGTGTAACGTGTCCCCCACAACACACAGGACAACGTACATCACCTGAAAAGCATCATCCTACTGTACTTTCATTGGGTCAGTACCAAAGTCCCTTCACTTCATCACTTCTAGCCTCACCTCAGAAAGGTTAATATTATCAGGCTACCAAATTTTTTTGGCCTCCACAAGTGAAATGCACAGTACTGATCTTTGTCCCTCTCTCCTCTTTTTTTTTTTTTTTTTCCTCTGAAAATGGAATTTAGCAGTGTCTCTCACTTTAGCCTACAACGTTTCACATCTCAGATTACAGGGATTTGCAGTTAAGAGGAAAACGCTTCGCTTCTGAAAAACAAGAAAAGGAACAAATATGTCTATTGCTCAAAAATCCTAAAAATCCTACTTACATAAACAATGTCCCATTTCCAAAGCACATAGATTTCTTAAGTTCAGCAAACAGACTGTCTGTGCTGCATTTACACAGAGCTAGGTTCATTCATCACTTTCAAGTCTAATTACCAAGCCATTTCCCTCTTGGCAACCTCTAATGGCCAGCAAAATTAGCTTTAACATGGTCAGGATACCCAGGAATAACAAATACCCATAATTCTTTGCAGCTGTGCAATTTGTTAAGAGTCCTAATCTTTGAACAGGAAAGGGATTACTTAAGAGGTAAACAGTCCACCTCATGTGCTGCTGTATTTGGACCAGTCCTGCGGGTCTTACTTCAGCACAGGCTCTCCTACAAAGAGTCAGAACATCAACTTTCAAAAATAGGGAAAAAAAAATCACAACTAGCCAACCAAACCTCATGTTAATTAGAGCCACAGAGCGACGGAAACGATTTCTTGCATCACGTAGGTCACTTCTCCCGATGCAAGACTGTTCGTTAAACTGTGAAATTTCAGTTTTTATTAGAAATACGTCAAATGGCAGGTTGCCCAAACTTCTCTCCATATGACTAATTCTCAATGCAAGAGAATTCACTGTTAAAAGTCTTTCTGATTTTCAGAAGTTTTTCCTATGTAAATGTAAACATTTTCCTGCTCAAAATGCACTGCTACACCTTCTCTACTTTCTCCTCATCTTTCCATCTGTGTGCTTATCTCCTACTCTTTAGAATTATCTATGGTGAACGCTTCCCTTTTTCCTAGTCCGTTCAACTCCTAATCACAGTGTAACAGAACAAAATGCCAAAATGAATATGGCTCAAACCATCTTTGTCCATCTTCACTATCACATTGGAAACTCAGGTCCTTTATTCAGAATCACCCTCTCATCGTCTAGCATCCAGGATCTCCAGATTTCTCCATTTAGCAGCTGCTCCTTATACTAAACGATTTTTGGATTACATTTTTATAAATTCAGTCCCACTTTGGTATGTATCCAGCCCTCATTTTTAATCCCTCGATTAATATGTATTATTTCATTTTCTACATACAAAACGAGAAAAAGTAGGAGCTCAGTTCATCTAGATATGGATTTCTAAGCATACTGGATCAGAAGTAATACTCTCAGAAATAATATATTTTGACACTGAACAGTCATCTATTAATGTACTTTTTGTTGACTTCAAAGTATTTTTTCTTGCATAAATCCATTTTGTATCACAAAACTGTTTATTTGCTTGACATGCATACACTGGAGACCTGAAAGACGTTCTGCTTTCATATGAGAAAACAGGTCAGTTTCTGCAGCATTTTCAGCATTTTTTTTTCCTTTCTTCCACTCACTGCAGAAATACCTTCAATGCTGTTTATCTTAGCACAAGTATTTGTCCAGTTACCAAAGCAAACAAGCTACCAAATGAGTCACCAAAGCACTACTTGAACTTACGTTCATTTATTTGTGGTCATACTTCAGTGTCCTGTGGAAAGTGTTCATTCTTTAGCATACTTAGTAAAGGTAACTTTGTTAGGCGATTTCTCTCGAGTCTCCTGCTACTAAAACTAGTAATGAGAATTTTACTAGGGAGAGGACTAGATGTTGTATTAAAATTATGGAGTTACGGTTTGGGAATGCATAAATAAATAAAACACTGTGGCAGACCTGAATGCAGCCACAGTGTTTGACACGGAGTAATGGCTTCTGGAGTGACAGAGACTACCACGTGATGCAAAGAAGACATCACATTAAATGGGGCAACCAAGGAGATTTCTCAGCTCTTGATCTACCTGTCACTGGCTATAATAAATTACCAAGTTTATTAATTTATATGTGCCCGCTGATGAGAAGGGATTGCTTAGTGATCTCTACAGAGGGTTTGGAGCAAAACATTTATGCATTTTATACCCACATGCTTTAGTCAAATGTAAACAAGTAATCATGGGTTAATGAATACTTGGCAAAGTGCTCTGAAGAGCAAAAGCATTAAGCAATTAGTTAGTGCTATTTCACATCTGTATATCAGAGCTGAACTGTGTAGAAAACTACCCTCGCATCTTAACAGTTTGGGCTTCTCAGTAACTCTAGACACAGTTAGGAACAGGAGACGTTACCTACCCAAGAGTTCTGGGATGCAGCACATTCTGTGCAAAACCCACAACCCACAGAATCCTAAAAGGGATTTAAACTGAGAGGAAAAGGTTTTACAAAGTTGTATCACAGAGTGTTTTTCACTGCCAAGACAGAAAAAAAAAACAGTTCAACCAACAGAGGGAATAGGGAGACAACACAAACAGGTGTTTCCTTGAAAACTTCAGCATGGTTAGTAATAGTACAGGAAATGGATCTCCAGAGGCCACAAATCATTAGCATCTCTAATGCATTTGCAAATTCCTACTGTGCAAAATCAGCCTGTAAAAAAAAGGCCATTTCTAATAAGTGCCTTGTCTGGTTTCCTACACTATTTAATTTCAGATGAATTTTATGAGAACTCTGCTACATATTTTACCTCCCATCTGGTTCCGATTTGACAATGAAATATTTGTGTGTCCCACCCTATTCTTTTTAAAGCTCCCAAACCAGCTGTCTCCAGCACAACATGACTGCAGCAGGTCATACCACATTCTTCAGTAAGCTGTGCCAGGCCTACTACCCCCCACAGACAATTCCAGGTAATGCAAAATTGGGTTATTTACCCCCTAAAAGAATGAAGCAAAGAAACTCACTCAGTGCTTTTAAGGCACTGTGTGAAAAGGCTGATTAAAATGGTCTGTGTTTTACTCCTCCAAAAGGTTTTATCTTGACAAAGCAGTATTTCTGAAAGCCAAACACTTTAACAATTGCAGCATGGGGAGATTTTTTTCTCTTGGCTTGATTCCAGAACACATTTGTGCAACTTCTGTTGTGATAATACACATTCAGGCAGGTGTTCTAACACTGTGCTACAGGGTGGATAGCATTTCTAGAAAGCCTACAATTTTGCCGTTGCATATATTACATAAAAGAAGGATGCTGATGAAGATGTTCCGTATCAGTTCTTGTATCAATTTCAACAAACAACGCGTTCATTTGTTAGCAGTTTCATAGGGCAGCTCTATCTAACAGAAGACGCCTCCTTGTGTAAGTAAACAATATGAACTGCTGAAAGGTCAGAATGATGCCTTTTATCCTTTTCTGCAGATACAAACGGCCTCTTTACAATATAAAGCAATCTGTATGGATGCTGAGGTTACTTCTGTTCTAGAAAAACGATGGAACGCTAATGTGCCTTTAAACTGGACAAATATTTGACAGTTTTTCATGCAAATCCAATAAGACAGAGAAAAGCTTGCACTAGTTCACAACAGGAAAGAGTTTTTCATAAAAATGAATACCCCAAGAAAGCCTACTTACAGAGTCTTTTAAATCTAAAATGCTACAGTAGCAAGTAAAACATGCTGTAATCCTTCTTCAGACAAAAGTTGAACTTGCAGACTCTGTCATAATTAAGGCCAAGCAGGACATTATAAAAAGATTGTTAGCCGCTTCCACAAGAATCCCTTTCTGATGTTGCACTTGAAACGGTGTACACATTTCCAAATTTTTTCAAGACTTTTGTCCCTGTCCAGCAAAAGGTTTAAATATAGTCTTACATTTAAGTATATGAGTAGTCTCATTGGAAACTTCATCAGTATATAGCATATGATCATATTCTTTGCTTGATGGAGGTACTATATTAGGTCAACGCAGCAACCATGGGAAAAGAAAGGAGTTAGGAGCCAGAAAATAAATGCAAGTTAAAACCACAGAAAAGAGCTAAAGGGCATGAGAACCAGCAGAATCCTTCCTATTAATGCCATGAGAAAGGAAGAACTCCACCAGCTTACCTGTTTATGCCAAATTAAATAAGTTTGAGTAGAGGTCACAAATACTGCCCTTCTGCCCGTGGAATGAATGTATTTAATAAAAGAATTCTAGAAATATGATACACTCGCGATTGCACAATGCTATTTTAGAGGAATTTATCAGAAAACAAATGAATGACTATCATTTTCGTAATAGTATTACTTACCTTCCCCTTTCAACTGCCAGGGCATCTATTTCATCAAAGAAAAGAATTGAAGGAGACACCGCTCTGGCTTTCCTAAAGATCTAAAACAACAACAACGAAACGTCCGGTTTTAAGGAATGGATTTTTTTTTTTCTTTTTTTAAAAACAGAACACTATCACTCTTTGCACACCCCAAAAGCTAAAGGGTATCACAGAACAAACATAAGCCTTGTGGTCATTTTTTAAAAAAATAAACACCTTTCAGTAGTTATCCATGACACTGTGTGACACAGACTTATAGTGAAAGCTGTACTGGATCCTGAATTTGATATGCATCACTAGGCTAGGAAGGGAGAAGGATAAACAGCGCAGAATTTCCTGCTTTTTTTTTCTTAAAAATTCAAATTGCAGGAGGTTTTCTTGGAAAGTTTAAAGGTATCCTTTTAAGCACAGAAGAACTTGAACACCAAAAAAGCTTAACATATCACACTATGTACAGCTTGCACCTTCTCACCTCTCTCACTGCTCGTTCAGACTCACCAACGTATTTGTTCATCAGCTCAGGTCCCTGCAAAATTAAAAAAAAAAGTGTATTACATTTATATGCAAAATGACTGAGACAATTTATCAATACTATATTTCTGACACTTTGTTATGAGGGATTTTGATAACTTCTCATTTGCAAAAGTCTTACCTGTGCATTTTCCAGCTTACCCTCTACTCACCCTGTTTTCTCCCATTTGTCATGGCATTTTGCATGCAAGTGATTATGCTTCTAAGTTACCCTTTTATCGTAATACCTACCTAATAGTTTTTGAGAAACAGTATTAACAAAAAAAGAAACACTTTGGGGTTCTTGGAAGTTGCTAGCTCAACAACAGAAACAAGGGGGGTTGCAATCCAGCCAAAGAGATACATTACAGAAAAGCATTCAATTGTGCACTCAACAGGCATCCTATCCATCCAGGCACCAAAACATCAACCTAAAACCACGGTTAAAAGCACTCCTTTCAGTTTGACAGATTCCAGGTTCAGAAGGAAGAAGTTACTGTAACAGCACACCTGACACACATCCACAAGGTGCCATATCTCCAGCAAGAAAGTTGTCCCATGTCTCAACTCACTCACATTCCCTCCGCTCTCTACCAAGAGAGCCAAGCACAATTATTAGTGCCAGCTGCTGCAGTGCCTGCTTATACTTAGATCCCTATCCACTAGGAACACACCTGAGACCATGGGGCCAGTATTCAAGTACTTACAATTATGAAAACTGAAACAATGGAGAATTCTCAGAGCATTTTCTGTTCTGCTAAATCCTGCAGGATAGGCTGTTCAAAAAAAAAAAAAACATCCCCAAGATGCTTCTCAATTTCTCAATGGGATCAAGAGTCTCATGGGATTGGTAATGACACATTGATTTCAGACTGCTTTGCATCAGCCCTGACCTACAGCCACTACCAAGGATGATTACCCACTGCCCTGAAGGAAACGAGCCAGCAGCTTCAGTCTATTTTCCAGAGAACACGTCCTCACAATTTCTCCAGCAGAAATGACATTCTGCTTCACGGTCTATAAATTGAACAAACTTCCTACGCTTCAGTGCTTTGAGTGCCTTCAGGTAAGGCTCTGAGCAGAACAGTGAGGAAGCTTTAATCAATCGTTATGCTAGAATTAACTTGTATTGGAAGACATACATTTACACATTGGCATTGAAACAGGTGCTGTTACAACCTCTCTTTGAAGAGGACCATCTGGAATTATGACCTAGATCAGTAAAATGTTGATTCATCACTCTAAATGTGCAGCACACTGTTTTCCCAGGCTCCTCTTTCACACTCATTTTCAGCCTTGCAGTAACAGTGTACTGACTTTATCTTGACATTGGTACCACTGGAAAGCACAGCTGCATATA